CACAGAGGGGATTAAATTCTAAATGTCTCAGCTGTTAAAGGCCCCTTCAGACTTGCCCAAAATGAGGAACAAAGAAGGAGAAAGCTTTCCCTAAAGCAATTCATCAGATCTATTTGGGCACAGTGACATTCTCTCAGAGCTTGTGTGGGTAAGTTTCACTGAATAGTTCAAGGGTGTGCAGCTGCTTAGAATATTTGAAAAAAAGATATCTCCAAGTTTTTATCATGCATGCACATGGGCTGGCCAATTCTTACCAACTGGCTAGTGGCCAAAAAGGCTCTGACAACTAGTAGTTATATCATGATAATAACATCTCCCATTTTTGAGTACTCACTGTGTGCCAGCGCGATGCATTTTCCACCTGTTGTATTATTTTAAGACCATACTTTTTTTTTTTTTTAAGTAGACTTCATGCTGAACATGGGCTTGAACTCAAGACTCTGATGTTGAGAGTCACAAACTCTGCTGACTGAGCCAGCCAGATGCCCCTAAAGTTCACACTTCTGATCTTAGAGGAATGACCTATTAAATTCTTTTTTTTTAATTAAAAATTTTTTTATTAGATATTTTATTTATTTGTTCATGAGAGACACAGAGAGAGAAGCAGAGACACAGGCAGAGGGAGAAGCAGGCTCCCCACAGGGAGCCCAATGTGAGACTCGATCATGGACCTGAGATCATGCCCTGAGCCAAAGGCAGACGCTGAACCGCTGAGCCACCCAGGCGGTCTGAGGAATGATCTATTAAATTTAATGCCTATTTTTGCAGTATGAAAACTTTGTCGGATGGAGTTTATACATTATAAACTTGATGAGTACTTGCTGTTGTTTTTTTCCTACCTAGTTGCTGGTTGTTGGATCTGAGATGCCCCGATTACTTGAGTAAAGGCAGCAGTGATCACTTCCATGAACAGATGGGTAGACGTAGAGCATAGAAATAGGTAGAGTCTTCTAATTTGTCGAGTGCTGATGGACTCAAAACAATCTCTAGAACAAGTCACTGATGGAATAAGCTTAAGTAACTGGAAACAAGGCATCGTGGTGTGTTAGATGCCAATCTCAAATATGATGACGTGATTGATGCATTTTCACTTGATTGGAAAGTGAAGAATGTTTTCGTATTACAAAGCATAAGCACTTTTACACATTTCTCCTTTCATGATCCTAATGTAAGATGGATGGGACAGATAACTGGATCTGGGTGAATTCATTTGGCCTACTATTTTTCTGTGTTTCGATTTGAACCCTGTCTACTTCTTTACCATCATCTCCCACCGCATACGGTCTATGTACTCTTTTGACCAAATCATTTGCAGGTTTCTAACCGACTTCAGGCCTTAGTCTATGCTGTTCCCTCTGCCTGGAAAGCCTTTCCCATCTTCACTTGTCTAACTCCTCCTCATCCTTCAGGACTCCTTTTGAATACTGCCCCCCTGCCCCAAACCAGCATTCATGGAACGGTCCCATGTACACCCCTTCCCACTTCCTCTGAGCTGGCCCAGTGCCCTGTGCGTGACCTCCACTACCTCATTTGATGTTTGGCATCACACCCTTCTGTTTACTCGCCAGATGTCCTAAGGTATGACTCTGGAGGCGCTGTCTTATCGTCTTTTATGGTTTTATTTCTGCTTCTCAGCACCTCACCAAATCTGTACAGGGCACGGGCTCTTGAGTACGTGGGACTTGAAGAAGGAGATACATTCCTGTACATCATACACAGTAGCATGTTGTGACTTCTCCAACGCCCCGGACCCCCCCCCCTCCCCACACACACACACAGTCTCATTGCATTCTGCTAGACTTCCAGGAGCCTCATCCACAGTTTGCGTTGTGATCGCCGAAGCTCAAGGTCATGCTGTGGCAGGAATGACTGCCAGGCGGAGGCGGATGCCCATCCATGTTGCATAGTGTCATCCTCGCTGTCTCCAGTGCAGAACGTGCTGGAACTCCTGCATTTTCTGGCGAAATTTCAGGAAGGCAGGATATCAGCCCTCTGAGAATTGTTTCATGTTCAACGAGAATGTTGAAACGTAAAGAAAGGCAGAGACTCCAGTCGAGGCAGGGCCTGAGCCATGAAAGGAACACCTCTGCCCCCCGCAGAATACGATTCCGGGTCGAGCACAGGGGTGTCCATGGGGCTTCCATTCTCCATTTGCTCCCGTCATCCTCTCTGGGCTCATTATTTGGTTCCCTTTGATAAAACATGGGAGGCAGACGTGGATTACTAGGGAGCAGACTTTGACAACTGTGATTTCATTTCAGTTTGAAGCCTCTCTCCACAAACGGTTGATTTATTTTCCTCTCGTGTATGCATTATGTGTGGCTGTGTAAGATCAGGGAATTCAGAAAGGCCCTCTGTGCCTTTGTCCCCAAGCCCCCAGCCATGCAATGCAGTGCAGGTACCAGGAGGGCCAGAGAGCCCTGCCGATCTCTGGAATAGACAAAGGCGCAGATCCCATCTGAGTCTCCTTCAAAGAAAACTGCTGCTTTGCAACAAGCTCCCGGATGGCGATAAAAAAAGGTTCTTACCTGTTTACTTAATGGGTGACTGGCCTCTTTGCTTTTATTTAGCCATCTGTTCTGGTCTGTGTCCCTTTAAACGTGTAAGATCCATCACCTCATTTAAGCTGTTACCTTGACACATTGCAATGTTGTGGACATAATGATTCCACAGAGGAGCAAATTAAAACAGTTTTTCATGATTAGAAGGTTAAATGAGGTAAGGCGGTGGGAGTTAGTGGTGAGATAAGGGGTTTTGAGGAAGCAGAACTCAAGGGACTTTCAGGTGATTGAGAAATGAGGCTGGCTTGACGGAGGGATGGGGCCTTTACAGATGATGGGGGCTGAGCAAGAGCAACGACTTCCTTTGGGGTCTCTGGCTTCTGGGGGCTTATTCCACTGTCCTTGTAGAGACTGGGATCATGGCCCAGGAGGGGACAGGGGCTGGCTTTGGGTTCCTTTTCTCCTTTGGGATGGTCTGTGAAGAGCAAAAAGAAGCCTATTTCACCAGGCAGTGGTGAGCTGGAAACACAACGATGACGCATACGCACTCGTGCTGGGAACGTTTTCTGGCCTCCTTTAAGTCTGAAGAAGAATCAAGGGCCAAGACCAGCTTCACGGAGGAATATCTCATTGCACCTTCACCCTGGACTCGAAGGCAGGGTTGTTTCTGACACCTGCCCTCTGCTCCACTCTTTCTTCTTGCTCTAGACTTGACCTTCCACCTGCCCCACCCCGGATGGCTCCATTCAGATGACCCGCCATCTGGATGAAAACGAGGACTTAGAAAGCCCAGGGTTTTATCCTCTTAATCTTTTAAATCGGTTCTTGCTCTGACTGCTCTGGTTTCTCCTGATAGGACCAGTAGTCTTGCAGTTACCTATCTAGACTCAAACTCTCAGGCATCTCCGAATTTTCCATCGGCACCTCAGTCCCATCAGGAGCCACGCTCTCCGCCTACCTCCTAAGCTGAGTTTCTCATATTGTTTTCTACCTTCGTGCCCCTCACCACTGCTCTGGTGTCCACCCCTCATTCCTTCTGTCCCAGCTAGGTGGAGTAGCGTCCTAACTAGTTGCTGCCTATCTTTAGTTTCTCCTGCTCTAAAACATCGTAAGCACTGACGTTTGATGGTAACAGTCACCTTTAAAAAATTTAAACAAGCGGGATCCCTGGGTGGCGCAGCGGTTTGGCGCCTGCCTTTGGCCCGGGGCGCGATCCTGGAGACCCGGGATCGAATCCCACGTCGGGCTCCCGGTGCGTGGAGCCTGCTTCTCTCTCTGCCTGTGTCTCTGCCTCTCTCTCTCTCTCTCTCTCTCTGTGACTATCATAAATAAATAAAAAAAAAAATTTAAACAAGCGAACAAACAAAACCCCCTTTGGTTTTCCGTCACCTAGCAAACTCCGTAGACGCCTCAGCGTGGTGCTGCAGGCGGCCTCCATATAGTTACCATTTGGGTTTCCAGCTTTTTCTCTTCCTCTGTGCCCCAGGAAGACAAAGTGCTGTGTAGCTATGAGTAACCCCATGTTTCTTGCTGCCCTGCGGTGTTCCCTCTACCTAGAAAGCGTCACTCACACATCTCTACCGATTAAAACTCATGCATTTTATCCAGCCCCATCTCAACAGCATCTCTGCTTTCCCCCACCCCAGTCAGCTGCAGTTGCTCCTGCGCTTGTTCCATGGCAACACGTTTACAGGAATGTTCTTACGCTGCTTGGCATAGATGTTTTGTCCCGCTCATATTCTTAGCTTTTTGAGTCTTACCTTTTGCATGTTCTATAGCACAGGCGAAGTTTCCTGCGTGTCATGTGTGCTGGATAAAGAAACGAAGTAGTTGTTGATAGAGTGTCTACAAGGACGTGAAAAATCCATCCACTTATTTGTTCATTTGTTGATTCGCTCAAATGTTTCTTGGGCGCCTGCAACTGTGTTAAGGACCTGGGGTTCAGAGAGATCATTATGACAGTACGTGCTCCTTCTCCAGGACATCACGATTAGATGGAGGAAAAGTCACGTAAATAATCATACGATGAAATATATGCACCAATAGATGTGCCTGCGAGGTATGAGAGCGGCAGGACTACTTGTTTCTAGTAGGCAGATAGGTTGGGGTGAAGGGATGATGGTGGAAGGGGACTGAGCAGTTAGGAAGGGCTTCCTGTAGTTGGGAATATGTGGTTTGCATTTTGAAAATGGAAGAGAAGTTGTTGAGGAATACAGGGAAGCGAGGAAGGGTAGGGATAGAAGGAAAGGCGATGTAAGAGAGCTGCCCTGCTTGCTCTCAGAGGCTCACCAAAGCGACCCGGTCACCAAATGATTACATTCTGTCTCCAAGTGAAATATCCTCAAGGGCACAGTCCTTTGATCCCTTTGAAAGAAAAAGCGAGAGAGAAATAAAGAAACCTCCCTCTGTGACTACTTTTGGTTGAAAGTCATTCATTTGTTCATTCATTCACTCATTCTTCTCCTTCTTCTTCTTCTTTTTTTTTTAAATGTTTTGTAGCGAAAGTCAATGATTGCAGTGAGCTTCATAGCCGCGTTCCTCTTCCTGCTGGTTGTACGCCTTGTAAATGAAGTGAATTTCCCACTGCTGCTAAACTGCTTTGGACAGCCTGGCACAAAATGGATCCCATTCTCCTACACATATAGGCGGCCCCTTCGAACTCACTATGGCTACATAAATGTGAGGACACAAGAGGTAAGACCTCAGAGGGTTTCCTAGGATTGAGTATCCAAGGTAACAGGCCTCCAATCACTGAACTTACTCTCTCTACCCCTACAGGCTTCTTTGGGTCCCTGGCATTTTCTGTTTTCTCATTCTTAGACGTTTACTGACACAGGCCTAAAGTCTGCTGACCCCGCTACACCAAATCCTCTGATTCGCTAGCTTCACGTGGAGTTGAGGAGGCAATTACTTATTTTCCTGGTGGTTTGTGGCATAACATACATATCTTTCTATTTCAAAACTCTGATCAGCAGTTACCAGCTGGAGAACTGGCTGGCTTTATTTCCTGGAGGTCAACTGGTTGGGGACAGCTCTTTGTAGAACTGCAGAGACGCATTTATTTTCTTTAAAACTCTGTAATCCTTAGACCTGGAGCTAGAAAGGCCAAGCTGATTTTAAAATTCTCCATGGCTGCAGAGATAATGGGATTTAAAGAGTCTCCAAATTTAAAGGGGTTAAAATCATTTAAGTCCCTTAATCACTGAACCTCTAAATCTTCGTAGCCATTTGGTAGTACAGGAGAGGATGGCGGCATATGGACAACTGGAAAGTATGCTACACTGTGCTAATAGCACGTTTGCAAGCAAGGATTTGTATCGTGGAGGGAAGTAAAAAATAGTGAACCTCCCAAAATGTGTGAAGTGTCAAGAAGTGGTTAATTCAATTGTTTTCACTATTTGTTTCTGGGTGGGATAAATGCGAGATTAATATTTATAGATGTGAAGTCCAAAGGCTATTTGAAGTTGTTGGTGACAAGGGTGCAAGTCACCTCACTGGGAAGAGTTTTGGATCAGATCCCATTGAAAGGCCACGTTGTAGAGATACTAGAGAGGAGACTTAGGTACAAAAGACTAGCTGCTCCTGTCCTGAGAGCTATTCTTTTTTTTTTTTTTTTTTCTCTTTTTCTGAGAGCTATTCTTAGTATCCAGGGAAGATTACTGAAAGCCGGCTTGGCCCATCCCCTTTTGTAAGCAATATTATACCTGAGTCATTGCTTCTGGTTAATTTGGTTTTTTGAAAATTCTTTTCTGTATCTGTAGGATTTACAGCCTTTTTATTAGACCGTTATAGTAAAAAGAAAAAAGCGCCATTAATAACTGGTAAATTCTTAGGAGCCTTGCTTGATGTTTATGCTTTCAATGGTTTTAAATTAATTTTTTAAAAAGTGCCCATTGCTTGCATTTGTTCAGTGTCCTAATAAATTGATTACCTGTATAAAGATGGATCTCTTAGAGAATCGTTTGTGTCACTCTCATCTTCTGTTACTTTCATTTTTGGCTGTTACTGAATATTCTGTAACTGCTGGATTGTGTCGATCATCTCACAAGTGCCTGTTACAGGTATAAAATGAAACGTGTGTAAAATGTCTCATGAATTACTCTCGTGAGTGAAATCCCACCAAATATTAAAGATCCTGTCACTTATCTAAATATTAATGGATTGGATCTTGGAGCAGTACTGGAAAACTGACCTGAAGATGCAGTTCTTTAATTAAAGTCACATCAACCAGGCTACCTTTGAAATTCTGTTGGTATAGTTTTTAATATAGTGAATTTATCAGATGATACTGATCATTATTTTACTCCCACAGAGGGTCCATCTTGGGAGGAAGCATGATTCCTGGAAAGAGTTTTTAAGCTTTGGAGGCTCACAGGCATGGGTTGCGTGCCAGTTCTGACATGTAGAAAGTAAGGACAGCAACAGTAACTGTCAAAATTATTATAAATACCAGATGGGCAAAAAATTAGGAAGCTGACTATAGCAAGTGTTGGTGAGGATATAGAACAATAGGATTTTGTTTTTGAGAGAGAGAGAGAGAGAACAAGAGTGAGCCAGAAAAGTGGGGGCAGAGGGAGAGGGAGCAAGAGAATCTTAAGCATATTCCACGCTCAATGCAGAGTCTGACGCGGGGCTCGATCTCACAACCCTGAGATCATGACCTGAGCTGAAATCAAGAGTTGGATGCTTAACTGACTGAGCCACCCTGGTGCCCCTAGAACAATAGAGATTCTTATACACGAGCATGGGCAATATAAATTGGAACAACCATTTTAGAAAAAAAAAAATAGCTTCCTGCTATCAAGTGGAGTTGAAGATCTGCAATACACCACGCCCCAGAATTTCCAGTCTTTGAAATACTGGAGACGTTCATGAGCACACGCACCAGGAGGCTTATGTGGCAGCATTATTCAAAATAGCTAGAACCTGGAAGCAACCCAAGTGTCTGTCAGAAGGAGAATGGATTAAAATTGTGCTACATACCCTGAAATACCCTACAGCCATGAAAATGAAGAAACTGCTATGCATGACACTATGGATGAATCTTACATAAACAATTTTGAGCCAAAGATGCAAGAATAATAAAATGCAGAGTGTGATTCTGTTTATAGATCACAGGAAACAGCAAAACTAAATGATGTTGCTTAGGGACATATATCGGAGATAAAACTACAAAGAAAAAAAGAATAAGAAAATTATCGTCGTAGAAGTGAGGAGAGAGTTTGTTATCAGGGTGGGTTTCTGGATATGTGCAGTATCCTGTCTCTTGATCCAGTTGGAAGTTACATGGGTGTTCACATCCTGAGTATTTATTAAGCACACGTTCATGTTGTTTCACTTCTGTGCATGTCTATTTCATAATAAAAAAAAATTTAAAAATATATCCTGAGCCCAGGTAGGGTATTTACTGACCAGGAATCATTACAAAGCATTTCACCTAATTTAACAGCAGGAAGTAATTAAAAAGAGGCAGCGGGGCATTAAGCAACCTAAAACAAACTAGAAATATTTGAAATAGGCAATTTTACCAAATGCAAAGACTAACAGATATACAGGTGACTTATTCCTCTAGTCTCTGCATGACCAAGAGTTTCCATATTGTAACATGAGTGCAGGTGATGAGCGGGAAATTTTGCATGGAAGTTGAAAAACAATATAATAATATCCAAAGAGAAGGATGGTTTTTCCTCAAACAGTTTTAGGATAAATTGAGAGGAAAGCAAAATTTGGTGGCTCTTTACCTCCCTTTTCATTGATTTCATCTTTCCTTCTCAAGAGTTCCACCCCATTCTCACCCCCATGTCTGCACTTCTCTCTTACTCCCAAATGCTCTGTGCGCTGGCCCTCACCAGATAATTGGCCTCAGATGTAATCCTTGCCAGAGACGGTTGCATTTAAATAAGGCTTGCATTAAATAAGGGAAGAAAAAAATCTTCAAGAACCAAAGTAATGTAGCTTAAATGATAGGTGGTAGACTTGATGTTATGAGGCCAACAGCTTCAAGAGTGACCCTCAAACCTTGCTTCAAGGATGGCCACACACTCCTATGTTCCTATTCTCTCCAATTTAATCAGGAGAAGAGTCAGTGGCCATGGCTTAGCTGAGTCAAGTGGTCACCAAGCTGATGTGTTTATTTTAATATCTTGGTCCTTGAGGTTTTCTCAAGTTTCTCAGAAGAAAGCACAAGCTTCCTAGAAACCACCAGACTTCCAGGAATTTTTTGAGCATGTAGGCATGCCAGCAATGATTTCCAGACCTAGAACATCTGCAAACGTGAACATTGCCGATGATGGCTTTATTGCCCAATGCTTTAGCTGGACCAGATGTTGCCGCCACTGAATAAAGGTTTGGTGAGCAAAAATGTTTACCAGAGAGGATCTCTCTGTACTACCGTCTAAAACAAAGTGGGGGTGGGGGGGGGCAGAATTAGGTTGAAGATATAGCGGACTTTGGGGAGAGCTGGGTTGCTTGGGAGCAAAATCTGATTCTCTGGTTCCTGTTAAAAATGAGATGAGCTCTGGTCCCTTTGGCTCGGCTCAAGTGGAAGTATAGGCAGTCTTATGAATCTACGGCAGTCGTCTTGGAGGCCTCACAGATGGTAAATTATACTCTGTTCAAGCTTGGCTTGATTTTATCAATCACCCTGTTCTTGAATGACCTATTCTCAAGGGAAGTGCCCAAAGTAAAAGTACAAGGAATACAAGAAAGATTAAACAGGGGGACTTGCTTATATTTTAGATGTTGGAGTATTTTTTTTTCCCCTGGTTGAGACTCATAGAAAGGACTATGTTTTGAAAACTATGGAGACTTATTCTAGAGGATTTAAATTGAAAGAATTAAAATACCCTTCCCACCAACACATGGACATTCTAAAAATAAAATAATTGGTGGTTGGCTCCTATTCTTTGCCCTGTGGCTCTTCTCTTTCTTAACCAGTATAGGCTAAAGTCCTTATCTTTGGGGAAGGAGCAGTCTTGAGAGGCGGGGAAGTAAAATGAGTATCCATGAACTGGGTAAGTGCTGAAGTCCTGAAAGTCCCTGCTGGCCTCAGAACCTGGAATTCCTCATCAGTACTTCTGTTTGATCTGACATCAACCATAAGGTAGTACCAAACTGAAGTGTGGACCTAGGGAGGTTTAAGTTTTTCAGTTGGCCTTGTACTCCCCCTGCACTCCACCCCGCTTTAATTCCTGACCCCCTAGCTGCTCAGATTTGCCCGCCAATGTCTTTACTGTGTTCATAATGCAACTCTCCATTTTACTAGGACTGTATCTGGGGGAGCCCACCTATAGCATTATGGCAGAGTTACTGTATTCTCATTTGACCTTGGACATGGTAAAAAGCACATGACACCCAATGTGTTTCAAAAAAAAAAAAACAGAAAACCCTGCCAATGCTTGGCAGTAACCCATGAACTCTGCTTTCTCCTTAATGCAAATGTTAATGATTTGTTTTAAAATTAAGGAATTGTGCCAGATGGGGAAGGTGTAAAAGGCTAAGTACTGTAGGGCTTGGTTCAGGTAGCCATTGTCTCTCCCTGTTTGAAATCATGGATGATTTTGAGGAAAGGGAAGGAAATGAACTGCAGGCTAGATTCTGTTTGCCCTCTAGACCATGGAATTAGTCACTGTGTTGTCTTTTTTTGTTGGGTGACCTGGTGTGAAGACACTGCTCAGAGCAAGGAACCTGCAACT